CCCCACCTCCGCCACCGGCCCGCCGATCAGCGACGTGCCCGTGTCCGCGATCGCAGAACATCCCTGCACACACCATATACTAAGAAACTCAACGAAAACTGGGACTTTGCACATTTGCGAGTGGCGCAATACTCAGTCCGCCAGTCCCTCACGTCACCACGGAAATTAGGGTTTGTCCCACCACTGGCTGATAGAGGCTCATCTGAGCCTCTAGCTTAAAAATGACGTCACTGTCAGATAAGTGAACATCCGATATTTCCATTACATTTTACACATTGGATTTTTATTACATAATTTACAACTTGTAAAATAACAAGTTAAGACAGGAGTTAGTCGGTTAAAAATAGGTGGCGGCCGCTACTCGAACGATATTTTAAAAACCCACTAGGAGGCGGAGGGAGGTAGAGGGAGATAGAAGAAGGTGGAGGAAGGTAGAGGTAAGCAGAGGTAGATAGAGGGAGGTGGCGGAGGTAAAGGGCGGTGGGGGAAGGTGGAGGTAAAGGGAGGTAGTAGAGGGAGACATGGAGGAGGTGACGGACCTTGGCGCAGAAGGTGTGCCCGGCGAGCGAGACGCTGTCCATGCGGAAGCGCCAGTAGGTGGGCTGCACGGGCACGTAGGTGAAGTTGCCGCGGTAGTGCGCCGCGTCCGACCCGCCCAGGATGATCTCCCCGCCCTGCGCCGCGCTCGGGTCCCTGACACGACACCAAAATAAGTTAACTACCTGTTGCTAGCGACTTCGTCTCAGTCAAATTAAGCAATAGAATAAAGAAATTATAAAAACTTTGTCTTATCGTTTATATTTGTGTTTCTACTGGATATTGGATTGACCGTTACCATGGCAACCTGCTATGATGCTATGATTAATTTTCATCCCTTACCTGAATAATATTTTTTTTTATTTATTTACCCGTAAAATTTGAAAACATGAAAATTAATTTTATTTCTGCTTTGCAATTTTAAATATACAATTTCTTTAATAAGCAGTTAAAAACAGTGAAAACAGTTATTTGGAATTTGTAGAAGAGAACATACCTGTTAAGATAGAAGGAGAAGACAGGCTGCACCAGACCCTGGGACACCATGTTGTCAAACACTGGAGTTACACCGTCCACTGCGATGCTGCAAAATAATACATACTTAATATTTCAGACGACTCCTTCTAAATGCAATTAAAAAAACAAAATTAGCCTAAGTGTTCTTCCAGACTATCCTCTACATTTTTGCCAATCAAGACCCGTTCAGCAGAGTTTAGGCCGTAGAATATTATGTACATTCTTAAATCGGCCAGTTTTTGCTTGAAAATACATATTAAAATCCAAAAATCCAAATATTTCCTTTTTATAACAGTAGCTTTCGCTCGCGACTCCGTCCACGTGGTATTAAAAAAAAAACAAAAGTGAGTATACTATGTGTTATCCCAGACTATCCTCTACATCTATACCAAATTTCATCGAAATCCGTTCAGCTGTTTAGGCTACAAACTCTAACAAACATCCATCCATCTAAACATTCTCTCAGATGAATCCATTAAAAATGAAGAAGTGAGTATATATAGATAAGTAAAATGAAGAAGGGAGATGTGTATTAGTGTGTACCTCTTGAAGGCCATGCCGAGGATGCCATCGAACTTGGCAGCGACGAAGGCCAGCCCCGGCTCCGACAGCGCCTCCGCGAACGTCTGCCCGCGCACCGTCAGCCCGCCCACCTCCACACAACAAACACACAACTCTTAACTCTTAACAACAAATAAAAAAAAAAACATTTTTTATTTTTTATAATATAAGATGGCAAACGAGCAAGCGGCCACCTGAATCCACTGAAATGGAAAGCGACCGCTGCCCATAGACATCCACAATTGCAGATGCGCTGCCTACTCTTCATTGACGGAGGAGGAAACGCACATAAAGAGGACATTTCCCCTTACTTAGTGAATTTGCCGGTGGAGAAAATGCATAGGAATGCGTCTCCTTCTTTCCTCCTTTCCTATTAAGAGAAGGGTGGAAAGTGAAGGGATTAAAATTAGACCTCCAGCACCACACTCATCAGACGAAACGCGGAATTAACTTCCACTTCACGCCTGTTTTCTGTGTGGTCGTGGTATTGCTGAGGGCGAGCCGGCCTATTAGTGAGATGTTAAAGCGGGCTCTACCACTGTTAAAACATTACCACATTCTTACTTGCCGCTTTACTATCTTGTACTACTAAAGGTATTTAATAATATACAATCTGATACCATACGGCTTCATCCGCATGAAAATATAAAAACCTTATTTTATTGTTTACTTTTGTCTTGAATTGCAAATGTCAAAATTCAAAAAAATACCGTTACCATGGCAACCTTATTTCAGTGATGTCAGCTTATAATCCCTTTCCAACATGAAGGTTTTTCTAATTTAGTTACCACTACGTTTAATAGCGTGAAAATATATAGCCTAAGGCCTATAGCGTGTAATTAGTGTAGGGCTTTTTACTAAAGAAATTATTATTGAAAAATATGCTGTGATTGCTGACATCCTACGTCACAAAGTAGTATATAGAAGTATAGATAGATAGACAGGACATAAAGAATTAAATTTGTTTTCTGGCAACAAAGAGATTAAAATAAATAGAGAAGGCGAAGACACTTCACTTGAAACACTTTTTACATAATAACTCTATCTGAACATTTGAATCTCTGTGGTATACATTGCGTATACTCACGGTGACGTCATCCTGTGAGAGGTAGCCAGAGAGACTGCCGGAGCCGTAGTGTATAGCGAAGGAGGTTCCATTCTTGATGTACGACCGCGACTTGCTGCTGTCATACTTGTTGTGCAACACTGCAAACGTAACATGAACATGTTTTCATATAAATTTATCAACGACAAAGAAAAAATCCCTTTTCAAAGGACGGGAAGGGAAAGTTGATTTGACTGTGGAGGGAACGCATTGGAATAGAAAATATCCTCTTTAGTCTTCCCTTTCGTCTGATGTCTGGGCAGTAGTTATTTCGCCATTTTAGTGCTTCCGTTTGCCACCTACTAAAGTACCTGTTGCTCGCGACTTCGTGTGCGTGAAATTAAAATAATAATAATGTAGCCTATGTTATTCATTGATAACGTAGCTTTTGAGGTAAAAGAATCTTTTAAATTGGTCTAGTTTTTTAGTTATTTCGATAAATACCACACCCATAACTGCAAATCTTTTTTCTACTATTATAAAAAAAACAAACTTGTAAAATTAGTGTGTTTTTTTAGCTTCTCCTGTCCCGCTGCATTGCCTGTAAGATTGCTGACAGCAATAAGGCCCTTACACAAATCTTGTAGTAGCTTAGTTTTAGTACACTTAATGCCTGTCCCACCAAATAGTCAATTGTCTGAAGATATGTTATGGAAATATCAGAATTTGTGCCCTTATATCACTGTGACGTCATTTTTAAGCTATCTGATCCTCTATAAGCCAGTGGTGGGACAGACTCTTATTGTAATGTTTGTGTAAAAAGTACTAAATAAGTGAGAACTTACAGCAAGCAATATTTGTGAAATGGCATTTCTTTGACGGCACCCATAAGTTTGACGATCCCGTATCGAACACAACTTTGAACGTCTGCGGAGGGTTACCAATGGAAATGGGTCCATAGTATTGTGCCTGTAACATTCAAAGTATAATTACGTTATTTTCTAAAGTCAGCGATTTCAGAGTTATACTGCGCAGGCATCCCTGCATGTCCCTGTGAGACCTTTGATTTCAAAAATATTTATGGACTTACTAGATTTCGCCCGCGACTCCGTCCGCGTGGTATAAAAAAAACATAAGTAAGTAGTAAGTAGCCTATGTGTTCTTCCATACTCTGCTCTATATCTATGCCAAATTTCATCCAGATCCGTTCAGCAGTTTAGGCTACAAACTCTAACAAACATCCATCCATCAAAACTTTCGCATTTATAATATTAGTAAGATAGATTAGATCTATTAATACTATGTATGTTCGCGTAAATGTTTTTGAAACTAAAAACGTAAGCAAATAACCTTATATACTCGTATGTGTGCAGCTGACTGTACTTTTATTGGAATAATGCCAATACTTGTTTGGCTTCAATAAGAATTTTCTCAAATAGTGTTATGTTTCTAATTATAATTCGTCACAGACGTAAATCACCTCCTTCACAACACTTCAAATCCATGAAATTGTATTTGCATGGCTGCCATCAAGATAAATGTTGTTTTATTGCCCTATTCATATCAGTAGAAACATTAATAACAATTTTTTACTACTATTTCTAAAAAAATTATACTAATCATGCTAATATTATAAATGCGAAAGTTTAGATAGATGGATGGATGTTCGTTAGAGTTTGTAGCCTAAACGGCTCAACGGGTTTCGATGAAATTTGGTACAGATATAGACTGTAGTCTGGAAGAACACATAGGCTACTCACTTTTGTTTTTTTTATTCTACGCGGACGGAGTCGCTGGCGAAAGCTAGTAAATCATATATTGATTTATTGTTAATTATAGATTAATTATTTTTACGTCTATAAAGCAGGAAAATAAATAAAAATTACGACCCTGTGAAACACTTTGGTATAATTAACCATTTTATTTATCTTTCTGCTAAAACTCTTATACAGTTTATTGATAATTTAAAACAGTACCTTAGTGTACACTAAGTCTATCAAACTGTACACTAAGGGATTCCTTAAGTGTGCATAACCCACTCTTATTGCAACATACTACTTATCAATATCTATACTATTATAATAAAGCGTAAACACACACTTTGTTAACTAAGATGTCAACATATTTTTGAATAGTTCTTTTTTTAATAAAATTCCCTACACTTGCGTCACACTTTAGGCTATATATTTTAACGCCATTAAACTTAGGGAGTAAATATTTTGGATAAAACTCCTAATGTGGGAAAGAGACCATAAGTTGCTGCCAACATCAAGGAAGTAAGATTGTCATCATGTTATGTCATTTTGACATTTGGAATTGAGAATTTGACAAATGTAAACAATAAAACAGTCTTTATAATTGCATGCGGATGAAGCCGCACGGGAACAGCTAGTTAATTAATATTAAAGATTGTATCACCATTTTAATATGACAAACATCTTTAAGTCGTAAATATTAGATCTCAGTTGAGAGCTAAGGTCAGACAGATTGTAGACAATGACCCTATATGTAAACACAAACATGTTCGCTCACAAGATAAGATAGAGGTTATCAAAAGAGTAGACAGAATTGAGTCGCAAATATACATACTTTAGTACTGAATATAGTAATTTTAATTTCTTAAAATTAGGCTATTTATCTAGTAATATTGATTTTACTAATATTACGCGAAAGTTAGAATGGATGGATGTTTGTTACAGTTGCCTTATCTGCTGAATGTACATCAATGTAATCTTACTAACATTATTGTGAACATATAGATGGATGGATGTGGAGTGTATAGCCTAGACTGCTGAATTGATCTCAATGAAATTTAGCATAGATGTAGAGGATAGTCTGGAAGAACACATAGACTAATTTTGTTGTTTTTTTTTCAATTCCACACGGATGGAGAAGGCATAAGCAATATTTCATAAGTGACAAGAGATTCCATACTTCAAAATATTTTCTCTTTTTAATTTTAAATATTTTATCTAACACTATTATAAATATAAGTTTGTTATTTTAGTCTTTTGCTCAGGCCTTACTGAAGTCAGTTAAGTTTCAAATGTGTGTTACTCCATGTTGATGTGTTTACAACTAAATAATTAACTATTTACCTGATCTGATTGTTTTATTTGGCAGTTTTAGGGATTCTATACACTATATGTGTGTAGCTTGCTTAATATCATTGACTTTGTTTACATTGATATAGTTCCTATCAATATTATTATAATAATATTTGTTTTATTTTTATTATCTTTGTATATTTATGTCATGTCTTTGTTCTTCATGTAATAAAGCTGATGTGATTGTTTGAGGTCAATAGTCTTAATGATTTTTGAACTCTGTTTTTTCACTCTTAATTCACATTCAAAAAACCTAAACTAGTTTAGAGAAAAATACTTGAGATTTTAATGTGTTGGTATATGTTTTTTACTACAAAAAAACTGTTGAATTAAAGGATAATGCATTAATTTGTTTCCTTTGATAAATAGAAAAGATGCTACAATGACTATTCCTTAATACTAAATAATTGCAAATAATCTCTTGTTTGGTTTAATTCTACTATCAATAAGAGGAAAACATAACAAAGAGAATTGTTTAGATATACCATCAATCAATATCAACTAATGACATTAAAGCATTCAAGGATTTCACATATCATATAACAACTAGTTGTCTCACATAGCTTTGTCCGTGCAGAATTTAAAAAAATGCCTATGTATCCTTCATGAATATGTTCTACATCTGTGGCAAATTTCAGCGAAATACAAGACAATTTAGAGATATGTAGTAACAAACATCCATCTAAACACATTTATAATAGAAGTTAAAGTACTTGGAAAATTAAATAAAGAAAACAAGGTTAATAGACGTCATTATCTCAAAATATAGCAATTTCTTGGATCAATGTTAACATATTCATTACATTTTACACCTTTGTGATGCAAATCATTGCTATATTTCCTATTGGAAACAATCTATAAGAACTGGCGAATAACTTACGTCAAGATAGTTTGAGAGCGGTTCAGGCGCTGGTCCGGAGACGGCGTACTTCAGTCGGACCTGCTGCAGCTCAGTACCAACTTCGTGGAAGTGTTTGCGTACCGATTGCATGCGATACAGTGGAACCCTGATCACGCAGTCAATTTTATACGGTTAATTAACTAATAAGGACGAAGTAATTGTAAAAGTAAAAGTAAAAGATTTTCTTAAGCAAAAAAAAACTGTATATTTTATTAATGCTGTAACTTTAGAAAGTGTACCTGGTAATCCCACTGGCGCATGCAGCGGCGAAAGCCACAAAAAGTATAAATAACTTGCGCATTTTGTTGCAAGTCATACACGGACTCTGAAATTTTTTTATAACTGTTACATCGAAGTCATTGGAAATATTTCACTGTTTCTATTATTTTCTAGATACTCACTGCTACAACAACGTTTGTCTTGCACAGTTAGAATATATAAGTCGCCTGAGAATTGAAAAAATCTGCGTATTTATTTTCTTCGCTTTGACAAATAAACTACACACGAACAGAGTACAAATTAAATTACCGGCGTTTTAAAACGTCACGTCACTTATCAACATCCGTGCACAGCGTATTAAATAATGAAATATCGATTTCGACAGTTAGAATCGATTTTTTAACTGAAGGGGTTTTGATAATTTTTTGCAGTGCTGCAGTTGCAGTGAATGCATTTGTGGTGTAGGTAACGAATGTGCCTTGTACCTGATCATACTAACATTATAAATGTGAAAGTTTGGTTGGATGGATTTTTGTTAGAGTTTGTAGCCTAAATGGCTAAACGGTCTGGATGAAATTTGGCATAGATGTAGAGGATAGTCTGGAAGAACACATAGGCTACTTTCTTTTGTTTTTATTAATACCACGCGGACGAAGTCGCAGGCGAAAGCTAGTATTAAATAAATAAATGACCAACTAAAATGGTGGCCGTAAGCCGTTGCTAACAATTCAACAGTACTTTGATAGCCTTTTAATTATTATGAATCGAACTGTGCTGAAAGTAGGTTCCTTATCGTGGTACTCGAGTTTGGTTACTGTCAACCCTTTCATCTATACTAATATTATAAAGAGGAAAACTTTGCCTGTATGTTTGTAATTAATAGACTCAAAAACTACGGAGCCGATTTTAAAAATTCTTTCACCGTTAGAAAGGTGCTTTATCTGTGAGTAAGATAGGTTATTTTTTTTCTCTCTTTTCGCGGGCAAAAGCTAGTAGTGAATAAAATTTATACTTTTTACACGCTCTGTGTTGAGAAAGAACACGAGAGAACTTCTATCGTATTAGTTGTTTTTTTAATTTAATAAATTATGTTAGTAAGGTGCAATTTTAAAATAAAACAAATTTAGTCAATGGCAAAGACCTGCCCTAAATACATACATTTATTAGATTTAAAGAATGTACCATAAATATACGCAAATACATGTATTATCGGCACTTTTGTAACCGAATGGCTTATAGCCAGTCACAGACTACACAGCTGCAGTTGCTACGTCGACAATCTACATAAAAATATTTACAACCTAACATTAATCTATACTTGAATTATTGTGCTTAAAATGTTAAGAGAAAAATTTTAAACCATAAAATTTAAAATAACCAACAGAAATTCCTTTGGCGTAAGTCAAAACTTCCGACCGAATACTTTTTTTATTACACTTTTAATTGCGTTATAAAAACATTTTCAAAGCACACACATTTCAAATAAAACAGGCTATGTAAATAATTAAATTTATGCAATGAGGTATTTAATAATACAATGAATTTAATTTCAATTCACCACATTATTTATACATGTATAGTCCCAAAGAAAATTATCATTCAAATATAAGATAGTATATACAGATAAGATATCCAAAAAATATTGCTCTCAAAAACATATTTTCTTAGTGACTGTACAATTAGTGCTTACAAGAGTAGTTTATTTTATCAAAAGTATAGAAAGCATTGGATTTCAGGCAACGGATTGACACAGTGTAGCAAATGCGGCTGTTAATAATTATTAAAAAATATTCAGACCAAGCTTAAGTGCACTCTCGCTATGTAAGGTTTTTAAAGTAACTATACTATGTTATAAACGAAGTCGCCTTTCATACCAATATAAGGCACCAATATACCTATACAAAATATTCGATTCTTATAGCCAAATTTTTAATTTGTTAATTTTCCATTTTGTAATGGCTATCTTGGTTTCATAAATTGAGCCAATTGAAGTTTAATTTGTAGAATAAAACATGATATTTGTATCTACAATAAGCGTCAAAAGAAGGGACGGATTCAAATTATTATACCATAAAATATAATAGGAAATTAGTAATCAAGAACGTTTGACAAAATATTTTGGTGCTATAGGGAATTAGCGTAAACCATACTCCATAAATAAACAAATAAATTTCGACTATGGGATTTCCGTATAATATTTTTGAAGTCTAACTTCTTTAGGCGGAACTTTCACTAACAAAGTGCAGTTTTTATTAAGAAAAGGCCCATCATGAAGTTATTCGACTAAGAGTATTAGCTTTGGAAGTAAGTTAATTACTTTTAAAAATAATCATTCGTTCTACTGAAAGTGTTAGTAATCGATTGAATAGATGATAGGATGTACAAAATATTATGAGATTAATCGATACTTATTAAATTGATTGATAAATCGATTTGCTGTTTTAACATCTGTCAAACTGCAACTGTCAGAATTTTGCGTACTGTTTTTCTTTTAATTTCAGCCTAACATTGAACTCTAAACGGATAACTTCACAATGATTTTTTTTTTTATTAATTTCGATATTTTATTACAAAATTAGATTTCCACAGAATCTTGTGCGTTGACACACAAGGCGAAAATATTAAAGAGTGCACTAAACTTAGTCTAGGTGTTTGAGGTCACGAGATTTATTTATACCCTGCCTCCGAGGTTAAGTTGATAATCACTAAGTTACTATATTAACTTACAAATGGCGGCTTTATAAACTGCATTGCCCGATATGTTTGTTGACTAGTAGGGTAGTTATTATTTATCAAACTGACGGCGGATCTGTTGGTACAACTTATGGTCAAATTATTTACTAGGGCAGGGGTAGCGAACCTTTTTATCTTTGTGGCATTTATTTAATGAAATATTTTATATTATTTCAGAGTCGTCCATTATTGATTTTGTAATTATTTGGTACATTTCGCGTTAATTTTTTGTTCATTATGAATTTTGTAATTACGTGTGTCATGTACCTCGGTTAGTCTCATTGGTTCGCTACCCCTGAATCATGGATAGGTAGAATTATCTGTCCCATATAATTTATACCCGCGTCATTATACCCTTTTTAATAATCGATTATAGTATACAAACAATTGAGATAATGCAATTTTAGCCTAAAAATGTACAATACGAGTGCACAAATAATGACGATCAAGTAAAAGAAAGCGGGCGTCGTCAACTGATCTAGGCTATCTATTAATATAGTGTTACTTATATTTCTATTTTACATTTCTGGAGTCTAGGGTAGGGGACGCCTGCCTCCCCTCCCTTGAAACCCTCAGGACACCCGAGCTCTCTGGTACGTCGGGCTACATTGTACTATCCCGATGACGTCTTTGGTCCTAAGTATTGTTATTGTAAATTTTACTTTAGTGAAATGTTTTTTTGGTTATTACTACACATAATTGATTACATATATAATTACAGTGAAACTCTTATATACTAAAAAGAAAATATTTGAAGTGTAAAGATAGTAGGCAAGACTTATATCTAAATTACGTTTATATCGAAGGATTGTTTCCCATTGGACCGATCGACCTGAAGAATCGACCCAATGGGAATTTTGCTTCCCATTGGGACGATTCTATGGGTTCAATTGGCGGGAAAGACTTACAAAGCTATTTGCACGCAATAATTGTGTTTTCTTATTTCATATTAATTACAAATTAACACTTCCAATGCCATTATCGTCTGACGAGTTTTACAAACAAAAAATCTGGCAGTGAAAGTGTTTGTTACATGGACTCAGCATTTTTTTGGTATTAGCCCTTTATTAATAATTGTTATATGTCCAAATAGAGATTCATGATGCAAATTTAAATCAGAAATTCAACTTTAAAAACTAACAACTCCTTAATATCATGCATCTCTACTATTTACAGTTTTTTTTTTTTATTTCGAGCTAAACATATTATTTTTTCACATTAAAAAAATCTACTAAAATCCACATTAATATTTCTAAATTATGTTTTTTAATGATTCAATGTTATTTGAATATACAAACAAAATATACGATGTTTTACAATCTTCCATTTTTTTAATGGATAAAAAATGCAATTGACCCGTTAATTCACAAAACTTCGCTTTTTTGTCACTTTCTAACACCAGGATTTTAATAAAGCTAATTGCAGTTTATTGAAGTATTTGAAATAAATCACAAAGTTAATTGGGAAGTTAACCACTCCACCATATCGTCAATTTAAAAAAGTGTAGTCAAGGATGTTAATTCCCTACCGAATTGAACAGTGGTAGTGCCCGCTTTAACATCTTAGCAGTGCAGGACCGGCACGCCCCCAGTAATACCACGACCACACAAAAGACAGGCGTAAAACAGAAGCAATTCCGTGTTTCGTCTGATGAGTGTGGTGCCGGAGGCCTACTCTAAGTCCCTTTCTCTTTACCACCCTTTTCTTATAAGGAGAGGTTGGGTAGGGGAAGTGGATTTGACGGTGGAGGAGATGCATAGGAAGGGGAAATATCCTCTTTATGTGCGTCTCCTCCGTCGTAAAAGAGTAGACAACGCATCTGCTATTGCGGATGTCTATAGGCAGCGGTCGCTTCGCCATTTTGGCGGTTTCAGGTGGCCGCTTGCTCGTTTGCCACCTTATGGTATAAAAAAAACCATTTAGGTTAAATGTCATTAAGCCTCATAATGCAATTAGATCAAAATTTCATATCAACATACATATATGCGAAATTTGAGCTCCGACAGTTTCCAGCAAATCCTAAATATACATTTACATTTCAACATTATATTTACAACTTAAAGTTACTAAGTTAGAATTGCACAAATAGCGATAAATCCAAGCACAACAAAACCATGTCAACTTCTTAACTTACAAGATATCTAAGTATAAGCACTTAGTCTATAAAGCCGCCACATTCTATGAATATTTTTGCATTAACTTTGTTACATAACTACATAAAACCTACAAAAAATTAATAATAGTTAACAAAACATTGCTCATATACACTTTATTTGATAAACTCATTAAAAAAAAACAATTATTATTAATGTCTTCAAAGCTTTTCTTAAAAAAATTATACAAAACACTAATTTTTTCTAATTACAAAAAAAGATAATAAAAAACCCTAGATTTTGACATTAAGCGTTGTTTCTTATTGTCACCAAATTATTTAGGATATAATTATTTATTTCCAATATTAATTATAATAAAGTATCAATTACAAAATAAATGCAATATGTCATAATTAGATTAAAATTATTATAAAAAAGATTAGATAAATAAAATAAGCATAATTTGTCTATTTAGAATAAATTTTAGATGCATAATAGTTAGCAAATAAATAAAACACAAAAGAAATAGAAATAAAATACTAATAATCAAAAACAATAATAAACTTTGAGCATAATAACCATATTTTAATCGGCAAAAATCCTTCAAAATCAGGCTCAAACGCGTCTTATCTATTACAACATTTAAAGCATTCTCTTACAGCCTGTATGTACATGAGATAAATTCTTAAGAAAATATCGAAAAATCTGGCAGATCAAAACATCTGTCCGAGTGTAAACAAACATTTATATAGTAAATTTAGTAGATTCGTCCAAACACTAATTTTAAAGTTAAAAATAAGAAAATTTGCAACTATGGCATTAGATTGTAGTATTTATGCAAATGCAATTGAAATTGAATTTTAATGTAGTTATTCTCTTCAAAAATAAAGAGAAGAAAAAAAACATTTGCACAACTTTAGTTAGTGGAAACCAAAAGTTTTTAAAGTAAAGACAGCTGACCATAGAGAGAACCTTAGTTTTAGCATTTGGTAGCTAGCACCCATAGATAATAGTGTTTTTGATATACATAAATAATACTGCTAAGTTTCTGGATGATTCGGCTATACTTTTGCAACCCTCATTACCGATAATAATCTACAAGTTTTGAACTCAATAGACATAGAATGCAAAAACAATTGACCATAGACAATAGACAACATGAAGAGTGTAAATATAAAACATTTAGAGGGGAAAGAAATCTCCAATTTTGCTAAAATGAAGATATTGTCCAAAATAACTGTGCAAAATCGTTTTCAACTGATTTTTTTCAAACCTTCCAAAGTCTAGGTTACAAACTACGATATTTATCAGAACACATTGTACTTTGTAACATTAATTACGATTATTTACAGATATTAGTTGTAGTGTTAATAGCCGCCCTGGGCGACATTTTTTCAAGCTTTAGGGTCTTACCAGCTCTGGTCTTTCTGTCCAGCGCCCTGGGCGTAATCCAACCGCGCCCTACGCAAAAGCACTGTTTACAGAAACTCATGGCACAGATTTCCAGAAACCCTACCAATAATTCCAACACCGGAAATATATTTCTGGTCCCATTGTGCTTGAATTTAGATAACGAACACTTTGATTTGAACTTGCAAAATACAACACATGTTGAGCTTCATCACAATTCATCAGTTTACTTCATTCACTGTTCATCACACACAGTCTTCATCACATAGTATCATCCACATGTCCATCACTTCACCGTGGGAGAGGTTGCTCCGAGTCTTGCTGCATCACCGTGCGGTACAGTCGCTCGTCCGTAGACAACAGACGTACGGAGAAAGAGTTTGTGGTTAATGGTGGACCTTGCACCATTTCTATGTTGCCAGCATTAGCCTGGAAAGAGGAATATTTTATATTAAAGCTAGCTTTCACCCGCGACTCCGTCCGCGTGGTACTAAAAAAAAACGAAAGTGAGTAGCCTATGTATTCTTCCAGACTATCCTCTACATCTATACCAAATTTCATCAAATTCCGTTCAGCCGTTTAGGCTGCACACTCTTAAAAACAAACATTCATCCATCCATCCATCCATCTAAACTTTCACATTTATAATATTAGTATGATTAAACATATCATTAGCCTATAGAAATAATGGATTAGGAACTAAATTCGTGTTTTATTCCGATTACTTATTTTTCAATTCACAGTTTAGAGTATTACTTATGTAGTTCCAAAAGTGAATAAAAATTCTAGAATCTTCTAAAACAATTCATGCATTAACAAGAAATATAACCTATTATCACCAACTTTCTGCATCGCACGCGTTTATAAAAGCATATCATCCAAAAAGAATAAAAGCATCTCCAGGTTCTTATACTGCGGATGTCCTGAGACATGAGAAGATGGTCTCGCTATCTCTTATAATTAGTTACTTACCAGGAAAAGCGTCGCAAAGAACAACTTGGAGACATCAGTTTGTTCTTTAGCGATGGAGAGTAGTCTATCGCAGTGGACGAGGTCCTGGTCGTGGCCGTGCTGCTGCTGAACGTGCTTGAGCAGCACCGCGGCGGAGGCCTGGATGTCGACGACACGACGCTCGCTGAGGGCAGCGCGGCGGACCACCTCCGCACGCCACGACTGCCAGTCCGAGTCAGTCACGAGCTGCTCCGTGCCTGATTCACTGGAGTTCTGGCGTTGTGACTGTTCATGGAAACTTCATTTTAGTCCCTTTCAAACCCTTTTTTATACTATAAGGTGGCAAACGAGCAAGCGACCTGAATTCGCCGAAATGGAAAGCGACCGCTTCCCATAGACATCCGCAATTGCAGATACGTTGCCTACCCTTAATTGACGAAGACGCACATAATGAGGATATTTCCCCTTTCTATGCGTCTCCTCAACCGTCAAATCTACTTTTCCTTCCCAACCCTTCCACTTAAGGGTGGAAAGGGAAAGGGACTAAAATGCTACTGTTCAATACTATTTGAAGCGTTGTCCTTAAGCGGAACTGATTCACTGCAAATTTTGTGGCAAGTTGTAAATATTAGTTTTACTGTTAGTTTATTAACTGTTTACCATTTTTATGACAAAGCCAATAGTAGCAAAGAAGAAAAGTCTTAGTTACTGAAATTCTTAGCTATTAGTATTTGCAAATTAAAATTTTATGCAATCAAATAAAATTTAAAAATGATCGGATGCCGTACGGGATCAGCTAGTTTCTAACGCCTTATATCACAAAGAAAACGAGCAAGCCGTCTAGATTCGCCGAAATAGCGAAGCGATTGTCCATAGACATTTGCAATTATAGATAAAATGCTATATGTCATACATATATACATACAATATGCGAGGGTGTGTCATCCGCGGACTCCGCGAACCAGCTCTGCTCGAAGAAGCCATCATCATCAGAGTCCTCGGGCCGCTTGGCCGCCGCGCGCGCCGCCGCGATCTCAGACTTGCTCCAGCCCAGGAAACCTGCATATACAATCTTACTAAAAACGCGAAATTTGGCTGTAGAGCATTGTCTAGTTTCATCACTACTCACATTTAGTAAATCTTACTAATATTATAAATGCGAAAGTTTAGATGGATGGATGTTTGTTAGAGTTTGTAGCCTAAACGGCTAAACGAATTACGATGAAATTTGGTATAGATGTAGACGCGGACAAAGCCGCGAGCGACAGCTAGTACTTTATATTCAATTCTTAGTATAATTAGAATAATCTTGTTACAAAATGTTTTATTTACTTAAACTGTTATTATTCCATAAATAAAGATTCTTAAACAATAACAGCACATAGAATTACTTTTTTTAATCCTCACAGACGAAACCACAGACAACAGCTTTTACTTCTTCATTAATATAATAAAACTTAAACACACTTTGTTACCTAGGTTCAGGAATCATAGTTTATTTTTAAATCTTTTTTTTAACATCCTAACTTCTAAAAATGAGATATATTTCGTCTTACCTTCCATATCTGTAGGTTCTATAATGCCGCGAAATTCTGAAACACATTATCCATTATCTTTATTTGTTTTTTTTTATATGGTTAGTTAAAAAAAAATAACATAGATTATATACCTAAGTTAGGTGGCCTAGGTTCATGTGCTAGTAATTCTTTACGCACTATAAGGGCGCGTTTCTTCCGTTTATCTATCACACGCGCTATCCACTTATCGGGTAAACAGAACTCATGTTCTTCACGATTTCTTTTCTTTTGTTCTGTAATAAATAAAATACAAATACATCTATAATTAAATACACACAAAAATACACCATACATTTAACCTAAGCTCAGCCACATGCAATCTTCTTTCATCAATACCTATATATATAACAAAATTGGAGTGTCTGTTTGTAATACCAAAAGAAAAAATCCTCATTTCGGGAAGATGATGCATTTGCGTTGCTAATAACGAAAATCGAAAAAACAAACAAAAAACTTTTGTCTGTCTGTCTGTCCGTAAGCGGAGTTTGTTCCGGGTAATTTCCGAAACGGCTATGTTAATTACGATGTTACAATGATATGTCTAACATTACTCTTATTATTTGAATGCTTTGCAGACAGAGTAGCGGGCGAAAGCTAGTATCCAATGCATAACAATACGAGAATTTGAATAACTTACCATCAGTAATCATTAATGTGACAGAAACATTGACTACATCATCTAGCGACATCCGTTTCCTCTTTAACTTCTTCTTAGCTGGTTCGTCCAGTATCGGTGATAGATCTAGCATTTCCATTGGCCTTGGTTCCTCATTATGCTCATCATGCTCATCTTTGATTACTCGGTTGGTGATGGGCAGGGGTGTGGAGCAAGTAGGGGGTGAGTCTGGTGGGGCGCCGTTGTCGAACTCAATCTGCAGTTCTGTCAGGGACATTGGGCGTTGCGTAGCTCCTATAGATTCGTTATCTACTGGCGGTTCCGCCAGATCATCGACTAGGAAACCATTCTGAAATTAGATTAACATAATTTGATTTATAAATATACAATCGGCGTTATTAAATCACGAGTTGTTCCCGTGCTTTATTCATCCAGTATTGAATTATAAAAACTTTATTTTATTACAACGAAGAACTTTGACAATTACTGTTACCATGGCAACCTTGATGTTACTTGTTGTCCTTTTCCCGCATAACGGTTTTATCCAAATTATTTACTCCCTAAGTTTGATAGCGTGAAAATATACTGCTTAAAGTGTGTCATAAGTGTGGGACTATTCATTTTAATTTTTTTTTTATATAATATAAGGTGGCAAACGAGCAAGCGGCCACCTGAATCCGCCAAAATGGCGAAGCGACCGCTGCACATAGACATCCGCGATCGCAGATGCTTTGCCTACCCTTATCCGACGGAGGAGGAGACGCACATAAAGAGGATATTGCCCCTTCCTATGCATCTCCTTCACCGTCAAATCCACTTCCCCTTCCCATCCTTTCCTTATAAGAGAAGGGTGGTGACGAGAAAGGGACTTAAATTAGGCCTCCGGCACCACACTCATCAGACGAAACACGGAATTGCTTCCACTTCACGCCAGTCTTCTGTGTGGTCGTGGTATTACTGGGGGCGTGCCGGCCCATTCGTGCTAAGATGTTAAGGCGGGAACTACCACTGTTAATATTATTAATACATATACTGTGATTACCTATATCCTACGTAACTAAGTAATGTGCGTCTACGATTTATTAAATTACTATAGAAGACAGATAGTTATTGATAGAAGTATAGATAATGAAATTATTCAGAAGTAGTTACCTGTAATCTCCAAGTGACATGTAGATCAGCTAACATGCCGATAGGTTCCCCTTCATAATCCAGGAGCTGTGCATCATATGCTGTGGGCACGCGGGGCTCCAGCTGTAAATACAACCTGGGCAATGTAGGCGGAGGTCGGGTGACATCCAGCTCTCGCCTGCAGCCAGGACACTCCTCCAGTTCTATGGTAGTAAACTCATTGTTTATTGAAGCTTTCCGCTTCCGACGGCTGGTATTCGGTGTTTGTGATTCTTCACCGGAGCTCACTGATTCACTGGAAATTAATTTTAAAAGGTCATTTAAAAATGATGATACCAAAAGTAAAATAGGACATTTTGAGTACATAGAATGAAGCAGTAAACTTAAGAACGGGCACATCCTTGACTAAACTATCGCACACGATTGTCGATTGTTTCGTACCCAATTGTTTAGTTGTACAACTAAAAATCGAGTAGTTGCGCATCTCCATATAAGCTCATAGGAATCAAAGCGAGACTAAACAGTTGTGCGATAGTTTAGTCAAAGTTGTGCGACCGATCTAAGAATATCATGTCCAAGCATTTTTTTATTTGCTCTTATGATTTAAAGATCTAACCTTAATCTGAAGATAGGCTATCAAATATTTAAAATTCTCTGATATTTTGTTACTTTATCCCTAATTTTAGACAATAATTTTAAGAATAAAGAATTGCTGACTAACATTTTAAATATATAAGTTTAAATGAATAGATGTTTGTTACTATCTACAGTACAGTTCAATAAATCTCTCTGAAAACCATGGACATAGAACACTGTTTGAAACACGTATGCTACTAATTAAGTTTTTAGCTCAGCGCGGACGCAGTCACGGACAACTAGTTGTATATAAATTAGTTATAACATTATACAAATATTTGCCTAGCTAGCTAACTAGTTGACAGAGTGTATGGTGAAGTCGGCGTCATTGAACGATAAAAATGACCTTGAATATGTGAAAACACATTTTTGGCTAATTAAATTCTTTGCTATAAAATTAAGGAAACTTGAATAGTATAGAGTATCGAGTATACGCACCCCAGTATAGAGTAACTGTTACTCTGTTACATTCTCTGGTCTGGGGTTAAATTGAAGAGGTAACAAAAAAAAAGAAGTATTACTATATTTTCAAATGATTTTCCCAACTCATTTTCAAAGGCAATTTTACATAGCTTTTACCCACGACTCTGTCCGCGCGGAAAAAACTCTTAGCTATAACGTTCGAGATGTTCTACATCTGTGCGTTATTTCATCGAGATTTATTAAGCCTTCTTAAAGATAGCTAATAACATTCATCTAAATATTCATATTTATAATATTAGCAATGGAAATATGAATTTGGAAATTAAATTATAACTAAGCCAAAGTAATATCTTAACAGGGGAAATAGGGGTCATGTATTTGCAATAAATTCTAAATACAACAGAACCTTGATAAGTTAAAGTCCAAGGGAAACACAAAATATTTTAAGTTATAGAGGTTTAAAGTTATCGAGGGTCTATGTTGTAGATTTTGGGCTCTGATAAGAAGGGTACATATTATTTTTTGAAGTTATGAAAGTTTTTAAGTTACCAAGGTTTGAGTTATCGAGGTTCTACTGTATTGTCAAAATGCTATCAACCTTAGTTTAAAATCTTGTTTAAATTACAATTCGACCTTGTTCGGTCTTAAGGAGACAAAACAATACCAGTGCAAATATAGACATTGTATACAAATGTATGGAGGTCAGTTACATTTGCATTGGACTCGGTTATTATCTTGGAAATGTTTTTTTTAAGAAATGCGGTCATGTTAGTTTAAATTTAAACTCAGGATATCTATTAACATATCTTTAGATACTCTACAATTACAAAATGCTGTAATTTTTAGTTATGCATCTATACTAATATAATAAAGTGTAAACACACTTCTTTGTTGCCTAAGATGTCAGCAAATGCAGCATATTTTTGAATAATTATTTCTATAATAAAAAACCCTAAACATACGTCACGCTTTATGCTATATATTTTAACGCTTTTAAACTTAGGGGGGTAAATAAATTGGATAAAAACCCTAATGTTCCCCACATTAGGGTTTTTATCCAATTTATTTTTATTAGATAAGATTACCATGGTTTCTCATCATCATTTTTTCATTTGCAATAGATAATTTGACAAATTCATGCAAATGAAGCCACACAGAAACAGCTAGTTTTTTTTTTATAAAAATAGCTAAAAATATTATCTACTTCCTACTTATGAAATAACAGTATGAAAAAATAACAATCGCCTTAATTTGTTTTGTATTGTACAATAGTTTAAAATGCGTAGTAACATCATATTGTCATGTGCTCGCATACATTATTCAAATTGTATTTAGTTTTGTCTATTTTCTTGTCACTTCCTCATACAGTATGTCTTAGAATGAAATGAATAATAAAACTTTAAACACTTGTTTTATCAAACTGCATACAAAATTACAATCTCTACCAATAGTATAAGGAGAAAATATATTTTTGTATGTAACAAGTAAAACAATTTCAAAAATTCTTTTGCCATAAGAAAGCTATGTTATCACTTATAACTTAAGATAATTTTAATACTGCGTAGACGAAGACACGAGCAACAGCTAGCTATGGTTACATAAGATATGTTAACTGAGTTAACTTTGTCAGACATCTGTACAGAATATATATTAACTCTGTATTTATAAGGGGACTGACAGGGACAAAAATATATTTTTTTGTACAAATGAAATAGTAGAAATTAGTGTTTAGCAAGCCAGCAATTTATAAGTCAAACATTTAAATTTGAATCAAACAACAGTGATGAAAAAACCCTACACAAACAGTTAAATAAAAAATTTCATACATTGCAAGATTTGCTTACCAAGGTTATTTTTTGTTATAGGTAACAGACACTTGATATCCCATATTGTGTTACATATTTATTATGCAAGTATAGCACACAAGTTTTTTTTATTTCATAGAAATTCAACTAATTAGGTATATATATGAATATAAAAAACTTACCTTTACCTGCAACTTTGTATGTGTAGAGATAAATTTTTTTTTTTTTTTACATTCTTCCAGACTGTTTTACATCTAAACAAAATTTCACATTTATTTGTGTAGCAGATCTAAGCTCATAGGAATTAAATCGAGACTAAACAGTTCTGCGATAATTAAGTCAAAGTTGTGCGCGCGATTTTACTATATAATATTAAAAAGATCACAGCAGTTGTCCAACTTACCTGACACTATTATGCAAAGAGTCACTAACTCGTAGAACATGTTGGTAAAGGTAATCAACTTTACGACCATACACACTCGCAGAGTGCTGCAGAACAAGTGCCAGCTCCGCAAAGTTTGGGACCACATCAATTTCTTCACCGGAACTGTCACCTTCACTCGCCTCTAGCGCACGAAGACCAGCCTCTGTTAGGTACTCTTCTAAAAGCTGAAAAGTAAAATACATTTATAACAAACTTTTAGGGGAAGGATACTAATCAAATGACAACTTTATTTGTCAAAATTGGTTCAGTGGTTTAAATAGCTTTAAAGTTAAATAAAAACAGGACCGGGCATTGTGGCAATTAATTGGGGAGGCATACATTTGGTAGTGGACGATGACAATAAAACAAAATTGAGGCATATATATTTATATAGCGAACTATGCTCATGTCAATGCAAAATTTAAAAAACCTAGTATTAAATAAAGCCTGTTGCTCAAGAATAGTAGCTACCCAACTATAAAAGAATTTTTCGAATCTGTTTTAGAGTCTATTCATTCCAAGCAATCAAATCTTTTCTCTTTATATCGTAGATATGACCTTTCCAAATAAATCTGAGTTTCCTTAAGAGTCTGAACTTTTTAGGGTTTCCTAGTTTTTAAGTTTAGCAAATTTAAATAGTTGATTAGTTTAAATTTTGCTTATATATTACTGTCAGTTTAGTTAATATGTTTATTTTTAAAGAATAATATTTTGATGATGGTTATTGATGACAATAATTTGTTTAAATAGTACTCATAGCTTTTTTCAAATTTTTAATTGGTTCTCAGTTTTCAATATAGTTGCAAAGTAGAGAATAAAACCCAAATATGCAATATGTGCTTTTTACACATAGCATAAATTGATTTAAATCACCTACATAATATATTTAAATTTATGTTGGTGACTTTTAATAAAAAAAAATACCTATGAGATTATTATTTTACTGTAGTAATCTGTTTACTTATACTGTTTTTTTCTATGCACATGATGGATAGGATTAATTATATGTAATATTATAACTGATCCGCATTAAGAAACATTAAAAAACTTTTTGTTTGTTTGTATAATATGCTAATGAAGAGGCGGCGGATTGAAATATGGCATGCATGTGGACAGATAAAGCGCGGGAGCTAATCATGCCATTTATCATAATTATTTACCTATTTCATTGCTAAAAATATTTAAAATACAATTATGGATATTCTAAAAGGCTTTTATTGAAAAAACACAATGCTCACCGCACAAAGGTCTGTATCAAAACTGCGGCGAACATCACTAATAGGTTTCATCAACTCCGCCACGATCTCTTCCAATCTTTGTGAGTTCATACTCCACCGTTTTACTCGCTGATGCGAGTTTCCTTCCCTGAAAATAATAAACTTCCATTGGTAACATCACAGGAACGCGACGCGGGCACAAGCAACATAAGTTGTACCAATGGCGCGAAACTTTCTGTCATCTAAACTAATTTAAGTTGTTAAATGAAATTTTAAATATAACGCAATATTAAATTAACATAAAATTTTAACACGCGAATAGTAAATTACCTAAGCGTTTCCAAGCTATCGGCGTCCATTTTACAAACACAAATTCTTATGATTAGGAAGAACGTAACAAGAACGGTGGCCATTTATTTTTGTTTTCATGGGAGACATTCCATGTTCGCTGTCAAAATATTCGTTGTTCGTTTGCCGTTCGGTTATGTTCGCGTCTGTCGTATAATCTGTGGATGTGTTCCTTAAACAGATACAATATTTTTTGTTTATGTTACTATAATTTAACGAATTAAAATTTTGTTTTAAATAAGTAATGCCTAATAATAATTATAGCATTTACATTAACCTATTCGTATATTATTCGTTTTTAAGAAAGACCATTTACGATAACATCATAAGTTCCGGCAAAGCCATCAACCCCTAGCTGTCAAACTATTGTCTTTGATTTGGTTTTGTCTTATTTGATTGCTATTCTGTGTATTGAATTTGAGATAAATATTTGTTTTATTGACATAAAATTGTATCAAAATACAAAGGTGTAGTACTTAAATGCTGGATAGAATAGTACACTGCAATTTCACAAAGTTGCTATAGTATTTTAATTGTGATTTACACCGCAACAAACGAAAAACCATGGGGATGTCGCGTTGCTACGCCCTCATGAAATGTTTGCTGATATTGTTCAACATTATTTTCTTGGTAAACCAAATTACTTATTTTCTTACAAATACACGTTCGCATTATTTCCTACATATCCCAATGTTTAATACAAATATTAGGATTAAAGAGTAATTGACTGGACTATATATTTTGATATTTATACATTATTTTTTTTAGGTTGTTGGTTTAGGGGCATGTGCCTTCTCAGGCTGGGCCTTATGGGAGGGTGCGGGAGGTGTTGGCGCAGGAAGAGTGGGTCTGAGCTGCGTAGCCATCTGGGGCGTAGTGCTAGCTCTCGGCGCAGTTGGCACTCTCCGTGGCGTTTGTGGTGCTGGTCACCCGGTATCGTTGCGTGGAGGCTTAGCTCTGCTGGCACTGGCGTGCGCAGCGGAGGCAGCAGCAGCAGCTTGGGGTGCTGCTCACGCTCCACAGTTGAGACAGGCACTCCGAGATAGACTGCGAGACACTATAACACATGATTATGGTGTTGTGCACTCCCATACTCATATGCTAGATGTTATACAACATGAGGTATGTTGTTAAACTTCTAATGATGTAGATATATCATCTATAAGACATATGTATGAATAGTACAAAAAAATCAGATTATGTGCTTAAAAAAAACTTTTAAAAGGGTTTGAACAGTATTTTATATGTTTTAGTCATTGCAAAGCAGTTTGATTCAGTAGAAGGGACATTTCTTTGGCATTAGCCATTGGCAGTATTTATTATGATTGTGTTTTGAGTATATTACAGATTGGCCTAGTTTAATCTTATTAATTTCAAATACTGCTGTAATATTTCAGTTGCAATGCTGTGGTGCGGAGAGTGTGCGCGACTGGCAGGAGGCAGCGTGGGCGGGCGGGGATGTTGCTGAGCCTTCCCATCGAGGCTCCCTTGACCTGTCTGTCAGTGCCCCTGCCTCTTATTACTGGGTCCCTACCTCCTGCTGTGCTGTAAGTATTAATGAATAGAAATGGCTCTCTTGAAACATCATCCACTTGCCCTTATCCCTTATGGAGGGTCGGCATAGTATGTGCTGCTCTTCCATACATCTCTATCAGCCGTCATATCTCAATCCACTCCTTTCTTAAGCATATCCACTTTCACACAATCCATCCATACTTTCTTTGGTCTTCCTCTTCCTTTGTAGCCAATGGCTCCCTTGAAACAAATACATATATCTATCTATACTCTATACTAATATAATGAAGCGTAAACACACACATTCTATGTTTGTACTTTGTTATGTAATATGTCTTCATCCCAAGTGTATTTTTGAATCATTCTTTTTTTAATAAAGAGCCCTATACATACTATATACTTGAAGCTATATATTTTCATGCTATTAAACTAAGGGAGTGAGAAATTGATAAACATTACAATGCAAGAAAAGGACAAAAACTAACAGCAAAAAAGTAAACTTAACCATGGTTACCTAAATTTTCAGACAATCTTTATTGTCATTTAAATCTTTGAATATTGGCATTTACATTGAAAATGTAATGCATTTGATTCTAAACCAATGTAAAGAGAAAATGTATTTTTGTATGTATTGATATAACTCAAAAACTACTGTGCCGATTTCAAAAATTCTTTCACTATTAAAAAGCTATGTTATTGGTGACATAGGCTACTCTTCTTCTTTCTCCTTATCCTACTCCCGTAGGCGCAACAGGTTTTTGTCTTCGACATAACTATCATACGTCATCCCAGTCATCACTTTTTGATCATGTCACCTTTCACGCAATCCAACGTACGATAGGCTACGTTTTTAATAATTTATAATTATACGCGGACAAAGTCGCAAGCTGTATTGGGACTGTTAAACTTACTAATATTATAAATGCGAAAGTTTAGATGGATGGATGTTTGTTAGTTTGTAGCCTAAATGGCTGAACGAATCTTGGTGGAATTTGGCATAGACGTAGAGGATAGTCTGAAACACATAGGCTACTCACTTTTTTTTTAATTTCACGCGAACGGAGTCGCGGGCGAAAGCTAGTACAGTAAATAGCAGGTTTATTTCCCATTTACAGACGGACGATCCATTTGAATGTGAGACATCTCGTCGTATCGCGACAGCATCGCGCGGCTCACCCGGCCTGTACACTGTGGCGTGTTCGCCGCGCGTGCTCGCCGAGCTTGCTCGTGTTGCGCGCGCCCCACTGGCGCTCGCCGCCGCGCTGCTCGCCGCGCATGTGCTCGCGCTTCTGCTCGCGCTCGCGATTGCCGCAAGACCGCAACATGATACCAGGTACAAAGCATAATGAGTGAGGGAGACAGATGTAGACGTTATACATTGGTAACTCATTCTAACACAAGTTCACACTTTGCCAGTACAGTATATCGCTTAATATGTGCCAATACCCTAATGGTTTGTGATATACATTAAAATTTCATCCTGATCAACACTACAATGCAATTATGAATTAAAAAAAACCTTTCTAGCGGTCGAGGGTTCGAATTCCGTCATTCGACTATTGTCCAGTTTATCTTAGCATAAGCCTAAAACTTAGTTCTAATGGTTAAAGTAATTATTAGTAAATCAACAAAAATCCAATAATATTTTCATTAAAAAAAATGGCCTGTCAATCTAATACAGTGTGAACGTTAACTGACGTCAGTGAGTATACCAGGGGTGGTGAACTATTGGGACGCTTGCTTAAATGACATACAATATTTTGAGCATGTCTCGAATTATAAAAACACTACGAAATGTGTGAATTCACCATAGAATTGACGTAACAATTGCAGTCAAAAATATTCAATTGCACATCTAGGGCCGATTTTTTTTTAAACCAAACCGTTTTATCTGCAGTCTTTAAAACTTTCCACAAATATGAGGAACGATAAAATTTTCATAATGTTTTCTCCCTCGAGAAACTTTTACAGAAAACCCGAACCGATCTTATTTGTCACATAATAGCCCAAATGACCGCATTAATTTCTTTAAAAAATGACATTAATGCATGTTTGCCACCCCTGGTCTATCTGTAACAGGTTGTTGCAACTGTCCAACTGTACTGGCCTAGTGTGAACCACGCATCATACAAGTGAAGTAAATCAGTGAATCAGTTCACAGATCAGTTTGTATCTGGATGAGCTGCGAGTTAGTGTGTGTGAGTTGTTAATTTAGTTGTTGAGCTACAGCTCATTGCTGACTGACTTGATATCATTGGGTGAAAGGCTATTTGTTTTAAGCGCCATTAGTTAAAATGTTCAGGAGAGCCATTTAAAGTCTTAATTTTTAGAAAAAAAAAACATAAAAGCAAATCCTGGAAATAATTTCAATTGAAAGATTTTCAGACCGGTTCTAGATTACTATTACTAATTCTGCATACTTCATTATTTATTTCATATTTAAAATTCTGAATATATGAGTCAATATCGACTAAAATGTCGGTTGAAACAAAAAGCTTCGCACCCGTCGATATGCTGAACTATTCAGAGTTTTACTAAGATTTAATAGCAGCTGATTTTTCCAATGAGATTGAAAGATAAAGTTTACACTATAACAAAGATGTACAAAATATATAGAACAAAGTATTTGAAATACAAAATATAGGAACAAAATAAGCCTTTGTTAGTCACTCTTGACTTTTTTTATGTATATTTTACACTAGCAGTGGCTCGCAATTTCGCCTGCGTGAATTATAAAAAACTACCCAAAGTTACTCACTGATAACGTAGCTTTTTAACGGTGAAAGAATTTTTCAAATCGCCCCAGTAGTTGTTGCGCGTTAACGAACGGCTGCTGCGCCAGCTGTCAGTTTTCACTATGCCCAAATAGGACGTATGCAGTTAGCAAAGCACTCGGTTTCGTAAGGAAGTAGGAATAACAACTTTATGTCCGATTAAACAGCCGTTTTCTACCGACAGCGACATAAAAATACGGTCTTAATGATATGTCCGATATCTTATTTGGCCATCTGTTTAAAACGTAATTACCGTTACGGCACAATACATCTTTGGATGTTTCGTTTCGTAGCTCGCTAACTGTTCGGCAGCGTTCCCTGTCGTATAGCGCCGCGCTCGCACCCCCACCAGACTCGCGCGCGGTAGATAATCCGCATTATTATCTGTGCTGCGAATATATTCTATAATAAAATTGTAAATCTAAAAATACAACCCCCCTTTACAATATCAGTATAGATATCAGCCGAAAAACTGTGCTTGAAAAACTTCTTTTACAGAAAACCCTAACCAATCTTATTGTTACATAATAGTGGCTCAAAAGACCGCATTTAACATTAAAAAAGGCACTGATGCATATTTCCGTCTCAAATCTGACTTGTATTTTAGATCGATTAATTCTGTTTCAGTCAGAATTTCTTTTACATGTTCCCTTGGCTTACCCATTTTATAGAAAGGATGTAATACTCAGACTAAAATTGCATTGTTTGATGCAGGTTTCAGCAAACACTTTTTGAAACATCTATTTAGGTTAATTAGGTCCCAAGAACCTTTTTAATAATGCCCATTTTCCATTTTCCTTCCCCCATGTAATTCCTAGCAACTATCCTTTCACCAGGAAGCAATGTTTGAAAATGCTCTCCCTTCTCCGGCGGAAGTTCCGTTACCTTGTTTACACGTGAAAAAGAGTTTACTAGGACGGTAACTAAAAATCATTTCTCCTGGAGATTTTCCCGTAACAGGATGTGGTGTGATTCGATACTGAAACAGTATTTGGTTTAACTTGGATTGTAATTTTTTTCCACTAATTAAGACAAATTCATTTTTGAAAGTTTCGACATATCGCACGACTTGATCGTTTGTAGCAGGATTGTACGGAGCGGAACTTTTGTAAATAATACCGTGATATTCTGGTATTCGTAAAACTTCGGGTTAACAAATTGGGTGACATTGTCGCTTGTTAAAATGTCCGGATAACCAAAGATAGTAAAAACTTTGTCTAAAACTTCAATTGTAGTGTCAGTGTCCATCCAATCGATTTCTATAACCAAAGACAATCAATTTCTATAACGGTTAAAATATCTAGAAAGGTTTTTAATTTTTTTTTGTATTGGCAATGAATCGTCATTTTCTTTATGTAATGTTTGTTCAAGAATTTCATCTATTTCTACATTTGGGTTCACTATTTGAGCCATTATGTTACTGTTTTGTCTATCCTTGACAGTTTCAGCTCGTAGTTGGGATGTCTATTGACTCTCTACAACTTTTGTGTGTGCAAATGTGAGCCTATTTCAATCTGCAAGCTATGGCAGCATTTTTCCTGTTAAAAATTTCATTTTCAACTCAGTGGTCTGTACCAGAAAAGAAATGAATTTCAGCTAGCTAATTTTTACAAATCGTTTCTATTTCAGAAAACTCTTTATGTTAAAGACAATCTCTTTATTAATAAATATTAGCATTTTCTTATAATGATTATACATGTAAGTTAAACGCCTTCTCAAATTAGTAAAAGTATCTTACTTCTTACTATTACTATATATACCCAAGTCTATATGGATGGATGGATGTTTGTAGCCTTAACGGCTTAAAGGATCTGGGTGTAACGCACAGATGTAGAGCATAGTTTTGAAGAACTTATAGGATACTTACTTTTTTTTCACGCGGACGGAGTCGCGGGCGAAAGCTAGTTTTATTATGAAGAGTCTTAGTAATATACTAAGATATCATAAAATTTATTTTGTATCTTGGATCTGTATTTCAAATACATTGTATCTAGTATCACATCTCTGACTAAAAGTATGCTTGAATAGTAATTTTTTATGATTATACACAATAATACAATGTAAATGTGTTATTTGATATATATGTTATTAATTTTGACAATTGAAGACCAGTGTATTTTAAACTCAACCCAAGGATATTTGAATAGTGAAAACAATCGAAAGTAATTCAGATATTATATGAGACTTAACCCTTAAATGCATGTTTTTTTTTTATTTAATTATTAAATAAATATTACAGTATAGGTTTTGAGTCACAGAATAAGGGAAAAATACTTACTTCGTTGGCGCAGCACCCAAAATGGGTCTTGGCCTTCGACACGAGAGAGCGCCAGATTAAGGGAAAAAAAATTTAAAAATCTTGGTTTCAATAAAAAATATACTTTTGTTTGTAGACTTTTGGCAACAATATGCATTTAAGGATTACAGATAAAATAAAATGTATTAAATCCGACTAATTTCACTATACAAACAATTTTGTACAAGCCATGTTATTTTTAACCGACTTTTAAAAGGAGTTCTCAATTCTGAATGGTTTTTTTTATTATATTTTTTATTAACATTTATCCAAAGCCAGTATTTAGTCACAAATATACAATCAAATGTGTTCAACAATTTAATTAAATATATCAATGTAACTTATTATAATAGGTTAAGAAAATATTTGAAATTTAATACCAATCTACAATAAGAAAATTTTACCCTAGTTTTTCAGAGTACAGTCAGATGCATAAATGTCTATTCTAACTGTTGCTTTCATGTCGAAAAAAATGTAATGTATGTTATGTTACTCAGTGATAACGTACCTATTTATTGGTGAAAGAATTTTTGAAATCGGTCCAACAGTTTTTGATATATTTCGATACATACAAAAATACAAATATTTCCTCCTTATGATATTAGTAAAGATTAGTATGGATTTACAAAGTTTTAGAAATTTACGCCTTGGTTTTCAAAAATATTCATTTTTGCTTTATTTATAAGTTTATGCATAAATATTGCTTCACTCTATTTAATTAAGTATATATATTTTTGAAATCGGTATACGATTTATAAAGTTTTGTAACTGTTAAGATATTTATGAAGCTGACTGTACTAATAACTTTTTTGGTGTTATTCTGGGTATTTTATTTATAGCACTGATTTGATACTTAGTTGTAAAATTAATGTATTTCATGTTTAATGCTTTTAGAGGCTTTTACGCACTGTTTTTTTCTTTAGTCACATTCCGTAAGTCACAGTGTTACAAACTGAGTTTACGTCAATCTTTACTTTACAAGACTGATTTTATACAACCAGCCAAAACTGACTGAAAATAAACCAAAATATCATTACAATAGCTTAGAATTTATTGATATCTCTTTATAAATGTACAATGGGAAAGGACTGGAATCTTATGAATTGGTAGTCGAAATATAAAACGTTTAGTTGTCTCTTTCTCTCTTATTGAATAAATTGAGATCGCAACACGTTTCGAATACAACTGCAGTGAATCTCGCGATTCTTGCCATCTCTTTTTAACGGTATTAGACTAGAAAGAGATAGATATGACACGTTATTTTAGATAGAGTGGGAGTAGCTACGCCATTTCAGATGGAAATTGTTTATTTTACTTTAAAAATAATTATTTTTAACAATAACAGAGACTGCACTAACATTCTTTATTCCCTTTAAGTTTATATTTTAAGTTATTTGTGTGCCATATTATATGTTATTAATTCTACTGATTATTTATTTATCGTATGTATTAAAACTAGTTTTAAGGCGAAATGTAATTTTTTCATGTTTTTTTGTAATAAAAAATAATATATGTAATTGTAGACTTCTCAAACAACAATCGTTTTGTAAGATTAGAGTGGACATGACTTTATAATTACAAACTTATTTTGTTAAATTGTAACAAACATATATTTTTTTTGGTATTCTAATTATAACTGACTGATATTATTTTATTGGATATTTCGCGAATACAATTCCATAGTTATAAAAACGTAATCAGATTTTTTTATATTTCTATTAATTAAGATTAAACTGTTTATGCATTTATTTCACCAAAGAGACTGTGCCGTACTTAAATTACCCACTGATGTACATTTTATTTAATTTTTTACTCTGAGACTGATTTTTTTTGTTTTAAATTTACAATATCTACTTGAATGAGCAAGTTGCGTTTTTTTGTATTACATAAAAGTAAGATCTTATCCATAAGTTTCCATTGCTGAAAAACTTTAAAAAAAACTTGAAGCATTTATAAGATTTCTTTCTAATTTGCGCAGAAACTAATATTAACAAGTTAATTTAAAAAAAAAACAGGGTGTAAATCGCAGAATTTTATCTTACGACAGTCTACGTAAGAGCCACTGTTTTGTACAAATGTTACAGCAATGGGAACCTACTGTATGAACTT